TTATTGAAAACGGAGCTTTTGGCCATTGAATACTGTATTTCTATTGGCGTAACGATCATTCGCACAGCCCAGTGTTCATCTTCCGTTTACATAGTTAACATTATTGTTCATTATTTTCTCTGTGAAAACTAATGTAGTTAATAGTTCATGTGTCTTTAGTCGAAATCGGAATTCAGGGAATGTTCGGTAAAGACATGATGTTTCGCACGTCTTAGTTATTTACGCTGTTCATTGCCAAACGCTGTTTATTTCGGGGACTTTACCTTAATATCGCTTGTTTGTTCGATTCATAGTTCATGTTTCTGATTGATAGATTTATTTCTGATTGATTGCCTGATTTATTGAAAAATAACATTTAGTTTATGAATATTTGCTTGAAGAGCAGATCAGTAGAAGAGGCATTATAACAAGTTATGGTAACACATCATCGCGTCGGACTTCCTTGATCTTGATCATACTTTATTTGAATTGAGTTCATTTTTTCTCAATTTCTTGATGTTGTCATAATTTTTCCTCCTATTTTAATGGAACGAATATTTTCTCGTTAAAAAATTTGCCGTAGTGACCGAGATAGCCCGTTGAAACTGATTGTCTGAAAATAATGTCAAGGTTCATATAGTTTTCCAGAAACAACGTTCCAGTGTGCTTCAACTGTACATCATCGTTAATATTGGTCGTTCTTTTTAACGTAGATTTTTAAATTGGATTTATTTACGGCGCTGCTGCAGTAATATGGCTGTTTGAAAATGTTTGTATAGGTGGAGTGATAAATGAACACTGACAAGGATAAGTCGATCATGAGTAAACAGAGATAAAGTATAAATTGCAGATAAGTTACGGTGCTACTCCAGGTGACGCAGCACGGGGGTTATAAGAGTATATTAAATTTGTTGTAAAATTGGCGTTGTAACAGCTTTGGCATTGTTAACATCTTCGATGCTAAAAACTAATTGCTATGAGCGCCCACTTGAACAGAATACTTAGGCTATTGCTGGCTTAAATGGGATGCAGTTGGGGGACAAGAAGCTAGTCGTGCAGCTGGCTAGTGTAGGAGCCAAGAATGCGATGTTTAATACTGCCGCTCCAGT